TAGATCATGATGTTCTGTTAGAATCGCTGAAAACTGTTTTCCAAAATTCGCAGCGGGTAGTGTACAGCATCGATTTCTGTGGAACCCAGTAGCTGCCAAAACTTTCACATTTTTACGAATAACTCGGAAATCGTAAATTTTTCAGGTAAAACGGTTGAAACAAACATAAATTAAAATTCAACGGCCAATTTGAAAATAACAAAAAAAAGGGGGGGTTTCATTTAAAAAACCAGAGTTGGTAACTACCACACGTTTATGATGCACCCTGTATATTGGAAAGTAATTTTAGAATGTGGACCTTTTAAACGTGAAAAACTTTCGTAGGACGTATTTTCTTGTAAAGTTCATATTTACTGAGATATCGCACTTTGACGCACTAATGAGCAACCCTGTATATATATAAATACCTACGTTTTACTTAATTTGAGTGGCATGCCTTGTTGAAAATGATTTACTTTAATAGAATTTTGATAACTATTTATACAAAGTGTTCAAAAATAGGTTTCAAAATTAAATTAAGAAAACCGCTCAAAATCAATTTCCTTAACATGGAAACCCCCTATTTTGATAATCTGATCTCATTTCGTATTATAAATACGGCTAAGTTTGTATAAAGTTGTCTATTCCAAAAGTGTTTAATTTTAGAAATATTACCAATTAAATGTTCTGCGGTATACTGTCCGATTTTAAAATTTCTCCGAATTAAAGTTTGTCAAATATGTCGCGATGGTTCACGCTGGACACCCTGTATAACCCAACGTTCCGACAGTGTGTTTTTGAGTAGGTTCTTCCATCCCCGATAGAGATATTCTTGACGGAAGGACGCTCACCCCTCAACCAGGACCATCATCTCAGCCTGATGTACCTGTTACGTTCGATTCGAGTAATACCAGAATTCGAATTTACTATTTCAGAAAATTCAAAAGCGAAACTGCAAGTGTCACCAAAATCCACAAATGCTATAAATACTACACTCAAAACCAAGAAAGATACTTTTCGTATTTAAATTTTTGGCGATGCTTTGTACCTACATAATTTTATGATTATTATTAGGCTTATGCACATTTTTTGCAGGTCTTTCAAAAACAAGGTCTGTTTTGCGGCAAGTAAATGTAAGTCGGTCAATTAACACCAAAGGCCAAGAAGTTATACAAAATTGTGACAAAATTAAATGTATCCGTTTCCACAATGAAATATAAATTAAGATCTTTCCAGGATCGTTTAGCTATAGCAAATAAAATTGATGGCACTCAGATTTTCCAATATCTGGTGCGGAACGTTAATAGACCTACGTACAATTTTATTCAATGCCACATTAGAAACCAGATGTTGAAGGGACAGGCTAGGCGTTACAAAATTTAGGAGAAAATTTTGGCCTTGTCTCTTTTTAAAAATAGTCCAAAGGGCGACAAATTGCTTAGCAAAATATTTGCATTGCCCTCTACAAGAACGCTTCGAGTGCTGTTACAAAATATTCCTTTTCGCGCGGGTATAAACAAAGCAATTTTCGATAGCTTAGAAAAGGCCGTTGCAAAAATGAAAACACGTCAAGAAAGAATGTGCATCTTGTTTTTTGATGAAATGGCCATCCAAGCAAACCTAGCGTATAAGAGATACAACGACAAAATTATTGGATTAGAAGATTATGGAGATGAAAAACGTGCTGTTCTAAGTGATCACGCAAATGTGTTTATGCTTAGGGGTATATATAGGCAGTGGAAACAGCCAATTGCATTCACTTTTAGCAAAGGACCCGTTAGGCCTATCAATTTAAAAAAAATGATTACAAATCTTATTGAACACTGCCAATCCATAGGCCTAATTGTTATAGCTACGGTTTGTGACCAAGGAAGTACAAATCAAACAGCAATTAAAATTCTGCTCGACGAAACTAAGGCACATTTTTTAAGAAATAATTTGCAACGTAAATATGATGGATTTTTTATTAATAAACAAGAAATTGTTCCACTGTTTGACGTACCCCATTTGTTTAAAGGCATCAGAAATAATTTATTAAACAAGCAGCTAATGTTCCAAATCGACGGAAAACGTAAAATTGCAAAGTGGGAGTATTTAGAGCAGTTTTATCAATTGGATGCGTCAATTCCATCACTACGAATCTGCTCTAAATTAACAGATGCCCATATTGTTCCATCGAAAATTAATAAAATGAGAGTGAAAAATTGTACGCAAGTGTTTAGTCATAGTGTGGGCTCACTTATGAAGCGCATTGCTCAATGGGGTAACAAAAATACTTCAAATAATAAATTATACAAAACTAATAACGCTCACCTTTTTCCTTTCACATATCAAAGACAAAAATAGCCTTTCACCTGATGCAGTAGATGCCGCGGATCTTATTTTATTTCTCGACCAGCTGTTTGATTCCCTGAATGTTCTGAAAAGTAATAAGTCACAAGCCAAACCTTTAAAACATCGCGTAACAATACATTCGGAACATGAAGTGTTTTGGCACAATTCGCTAACCATACTCAAAAGTATGGTTTTTTTTTGTTCTAAAAAACAGAAGAGGGTAATGGTTCCAACTTTGAAAAACTTAAAGTTTACACTAAGAGGCGTTTTACATCTAAATTGTTAGTTAAACTGTTAGTTGAAGAAAACTTTAGATTTATTCTAACAGGAGCTTTTAATCAGGACCCTTTAGAAAACTTTTTTAGTTACGTCAGAAGCCATGGTCTGAGGAATACAAATCCTGATGCCTCCCACTTTATCTCCCCATTTAAAACACTAGTCGTTAACAATTACATATCAAGCCATTCACCTAATTCCAACTGTGAAATGGACATAAAAACGGAGTGTTTGGATAATTTAAGAACTTTTCTAACTAATCCAAAATTATACCTGATACGTGTCACGGATATCAAGATCCTCCTCGAATGCCGACGATATCAAAAAATGTTATTATTGGGAAGAAAACAAAGGTTACACGTTGCACAATTATTTATATGAGTGGAGCAATTGCAAAAATCATTTTAAAGATGAAATGTTTTCAAAGTTGTGATATTTGCAAATCCAATCTCTCTATTAGACGTGGTGCCGTATTGGAAGATAATTTTATAGATGTTAGGCAGTATGATCAAGGACGTTTGTTCAGACCAGGAAATTATTTAAATTTTGTTATAACTCATTCTTTAAATTTCCTGTTCTATGTAACAACCACGGTTATGCACTACCAAAATATTTCTCAATTCCTTGTCAATTTCTTAAAAAACTAATTAAATTTTAAAATTCTGAATTGTCCTTTGCATGACTTAGGCGACCAAGTATGTCAAGTAACAGTGAGATGTGCACTTTTTTGGTGGTGCAAACAAGTAAATAAAATTTTAAATGGTGATGATGCAAAATTTTCCAAGTTTTTAGCAGAAAATCCAAACAGCCATTACATTGACCCAATAAAATTACAGGCCTATGAAAAGTTCAAGATGTCTCAAAAATTTAGAAAGCAAAATTCTTGAATGGTACAAATGGTATAATAGGCGGCATGGTACAAATAAACTGATTTCGAGAGTGGATAGGAGCGATTCTCCTAACGGTCGACGTGGATAAACTCTTTTCGCTATTCTCGAAACGGAAAGTAACAAGAAAATTTAAACGATGGAACAATGCAGTTAACAAACTCAGTTAAATGAATTGAAGATATTGAGCGCAATTTTAATTAAAAAATGGACAATACTCATACCTAGGTAGAAATGGATAGAATAAGAATAATAAAAATACATTAAATCAAACTTGTCAATAAACAAACTTCAGTGGCTTTAGTTGGGACAAAAATGTGAAAACTGCCAGCAGCACAGGTAGAAACATATATTTTTAGTTAAGTTGAAATAA